AGCCGCTCTCCCGCACCGACCAGGGCGTCTCCAGTCCCTGTCTGGCCCTTTCCCAGTAACTGCAGCGACAGGCGGTACTGAGCACCTACCACGGGCCACCTGCTGTGTGAAGCACCCTATCTGTCCTGTCTCACCAACTCCACAGGGGCTCCTATTACGCCCATTTCTCTTGTAGGGACCCTGAGGCTGGGAGAGACCTAGTCCAGCGGTTCTCAACCTGTGGGTCGCGACCCCTTTGGGGGTCGAACGACCCTTTCACAGGGGTCGCCCAAGACCATCGGAAAACACATATAATTACATATTGTTTTTGTGATTCATCACTATGCTTTAATTATGTTCAATTTGTAACAATGAAAATACATCCTGTATATCAGATATTTACATTACAATTCATAACAGTAGCAAAATTACAGTTATGAAGTAGCAAGGAAAATAATTTTATGGTTGGGGGTCACCACAACATGAGGAACTGTATTAAAGGGTCGAGGCATTAGGAAGGTTGAGAACCACTGACCTAGTTACTGATCAGTAGGCGGCAGAGCAGATTCAAACCTGGCACGGCCAGCAGCAAAGCCGGGTGCCGGGAACCCTCCTGCTTCCCCACTCCGCAGCTTCTCTGGGGAGCCTCTGCGGCCTCCCCTTCGGTGCCTCCACCTGGTCCTTTGCAGCTGCAGAGGCCGCTGCCATTGGCCTTCATCCATCACTCTAGCTGCTCCTTCCAGTGCTCATCTCAGTCTGTCATCTGGCTTATTGCCAAGTGTCTGTGTCCCCGACGAGGACCAGGACAGGACCTTGGTCTTGTTCACTGTGAATCCCCTGCCCTCCCAGCAGTGGCTCAGTAAATACTCATGGAGTAAATGAGTGGCCTGACTCCTCCCAACCCACACTCTGGGGCCCTGGAGACCAGCTCCCCTCCCTCAGCCACCGCCCCAAGTACCTGCGGAGGAATGATGTCGAACAGGTCCCCAGCAGGCGCATACTCCTGGGCAAAGACGTAGCAGTCCTCGGTCTCAAACACCACGTCAAAGACCTTGATAATGAAGGGGCTGGAGGAGAGGCTGTTGGTGATGCTCACCTCCCGCAGGAAGTTCTTCAGCTTGGTTTTGCTCTTGTTCACAAATTTCAGCGCCATTTTCATGCCTGGCAGGGCAACAGTGGTGAAGGCCCCCGCTCCTGCCCTCCTGCACTTGACACCACCCATGCCTGTCTGCACAGCCTGTCCCAGGCACAAGGCACAGTGGGGTCCCAGAGGGCAGACCCAGCGAAGGGAAAGCACTTGCCAAAGGCCGTGCAGCAAGTCAGGGCTCGAGCTGGATCCTCTGCACCCAGCCTGCAGCTGCCCCACCCTTTCATTTTCCTCCTGACATACTAGACCTACTTAGCGCATTTGTCTACCCCAACAAGAACACAACTTCCCAAGAGCAGGGACCTTTGTTTTGTTTATTGCTATATCTCCAGTGCCTACAGGAGTCTGGTGCATAGTAGGTGCTCAACAAATGTTTGTTTAATGGATGAATGAATGAGAAGGAATTAAACACAGGGAGGTGAGGGCCTGCAAGGCACATACTAGTATCTCTGACTGTGTGCTTGGGCAGGCACCTGTGTATCCACAGAGCACTTGCCTTGCCTTCAGCAATTCACATTCACAACTGACTCCTCACAGTGATCCTATGAGCTGGGCACTAATGCTACCCCATTTTACAGAGGATGAAACCTAGGCACAGAGAGGTTAAGTCACATGCCTAAGGTCACACAGCAAGCAGGTGGCAAAGCTCAGGTGATCTCATGTCCAGTGATCTTCCTGTTGCCTTCAGTCGGCATAGAGCCCCTGCCCCAGGTGTGTGCAAATGTGGGAGCTCATGCAGACCCCATCTGCGACTGAGTGGGCACTGCTGTGAGCCTACAGAGTGGGGAAGGCAGCAAGTTCTGTGGTTAAGTGAGAAGGCTCTGGGCCTGAGGACTGGGGCCTCATCCTAGCTCAAACCCTCTGCATGACCTTGACTGAAACTCTCTGAGGAATGGAGCTTGCCACACTGTCCTCACAGGGTCATCGCCCACCCTCCTCAAAGCAGGTACCCTGTTCTGGAGGACCCACAGTCTGTCCATCTCCCTGGGGTCAGCTATCACTGATATGCTGGTGATTCGCCCAACACCACCACCAGTCCTGACCTTGACCTCCTCCTGAGCTCCAGATGTCCTGGGGTGCATCCTCTTGGCTGTCCCAAAGTCATCTCCAGATTCCTTTGTCCCATCTGCCTGTTCCTCTCCTCCCCGGGCCACTCAGACTGCATCCTCTTCACCTGGACCACTGCCTCTCCTCCCTGCTAGCCTCCTGGCCCCTGCAGAGAGCACCTGAGAGCCCCAGCTAAGTCCCCACCCAAGCATGAAACCAGCCGCCTTACAGATACTCACCTGTGCCCTTGTGGGCCACCAGGTCAACCTTCCCATAGGTGCCTTTACCCAGCTCCCGCACCAGTTCGTAGTGCTTGGTGACATCGCTAGCAGCCAGGGTGCGGAGGGTCAGGGCCTGCATGTCTTCAGTGAGGAGGGGCACGCCTGCCCCCAGCCCAAGGGCCGTCCCTGGCCCACAGCAGGGCAGAGCGCGGGGTGGCTCGGGCTCTGGGCAGCCCACGCTCATCTTCTCCCTGTTGTGGGGGGTGTGGCATCAGGTCAGGCCCCATTCCCCACCTACCTTTTCCTTCCCCAGCACCTAGAACCCCTGGAGGCCAGATGCCAGGCCCAGGATGACCACAATGGGCAACAAGCACCTTTGCTGCATTATCTTCCCCAACGCTTCCGGACCAGCTGAGCTGGCACCCCCCAGAGACAGTCACTGCCCCGGCCCCCACTTGGGTACTGCCAGCCTATTTGTCTCCTGCTGTCATCCAGACCCAGTGTCAGGGATGGTACTGACACAAAGACATGCCATAACTCTTCCTCAGAGCAGCTGGAGGTGACCTCCAAAAGTGGTTTGCTATTCAGCTGACCCAGAAAACCCCACAAAATCATGCAAATCAAGAGGTTCAAATCTTCATGTTCACTCTACAGAAGCAATGTGTGCCATTCGTCGTTACAATGATGGAGCTGGTAGGTGTGCCCAGGCCAAACAGTGGGGCTGGACGGGGGGCCGGTGGCCAAAACGGAGTCCTGAATTTTTGCTGCATGTGCTTAAAAATGCAGAGAGTAATGCAGAGCGCAAGGGTTCAGATGTAGATTATCTGGTCATCGAGCACATCCAGGTGAACAAAGCCGCCAAGATGCGGGCAGAACGTACAGAGCTCACGGCGGGTTAACCCGCATGAGCTCTCCCTGCCACACTGAGAGGACCCTGCCGAGAAAGGGCAGGCGGTTCCTACACCAGTGGAGGAGGAGTGCACAGGAGAAAAAGATGTCCCAGAAGGAATGGAAGGAACAAAAGCTTCCGGCCCCGCAATAAATTCAGCATCAAATAAATAGTAAAAGAGAAAGAGAGAGAGAGGAAGGCACGCCAGGGACGGAGTTCACAGAAGTGGTCCCATTCACAGTGCTGATCAGCACCTGCCCTCAGCCGGTGCCACAGAGCCCTGGGGACACTGCACTGGACACAGGTAAGAATCCTGCCTCGTGGGACTTACCTTCCGGGAGATGGGTAATACACCTGGTGAACAGATGAAGTATATATTACGAGAAAAGGGGCTATGGGCTGTAGACAAAAATAAGGCAGGAGTGGGGAAGGCCAGGTCTGAGGGCAGAGGTCATGTTATCAAATACGCCAGCCACAGTCTCAGAACACTCTGGCAGATGGTGCAGATATGGCCACACACCCACCACAGCTTATAATCCCTCCGCCACCACAGATGACAGCACAGCCAGCTGAGGTACACAGAGCCACAGCTGGAGTACCAGGACCCTGCCTGGGCCCCAGACACGAGGACAGAGCGCCTGTCCCACAGACCCGCCCTCCCCGCCTCCCACTGACCCCTTCAGTGTCCACAAGGCTGGACACGCCCACCCACTAGAGCAGGGGTCCTCAAACTATGGCCCGCGGGCCACATGCAAATACAAATATTGTATTTGTTCCCGTTTTGTTTTTTTACTTCAAAATAAGATATGTGCAGTGTGCATAGGAATTTGTTCATAGTTTTTTTTTAAACTATAGTCCGGCCCTCCAACGGTCTGAGGGACAGTGAACTGGCCCCCTGTTTAAAAAGTTTGAGGACCCCTGCCCCAGAGGTACAGGTTGTCTCCAGATGGTGTTGGGGGCCGAGAGCTGCAGTGGGGAGTCCAGGCCTGGGTGACAGTGGATCCTTCTGGGCCTGCATTTCTTGTCTGATGGGGGGAGGACTAGACTGGGGAGCTGGATGTGCAGCAGCAGGAGCGGCCGGCACTGCACTCTCGGTGCTGACAGGAGCCTGCCTCTTTGGAGCCTCCTCTGCTCCCCACACGCCCCCCGACCTCCATCCCAGGTGTGCCACCCAACACCCTCACAGCCACCCTTTGCAAGACCACCCATGGCTGAGAGAAAGCACAGACTTGGAGCCAGACGGCTGGCTTTGAACCCCAGCTCTGTCACTCGCTAGCTGGTTGGCCTTGGGCAAGTGACTTCATCTCTCTGTGCCTCAGTTCCATCTATAAGGAGGATGAGTCCCTTCTCCCTCCGGGCTGTTGTGAGGATCAAGGAGTTAACAGCCGTGAAGTGCTTGGTGTCTGGCCCACAGAGTGCTCTCTGTGTGAGGTGTGCGGGTTCAGTAGAATCTACATTCTCTCTGGCTGCGCTCGACCAGAGGCTGGGAGCAGGGCGAGTTCTCCGTGAGCCGGGCATCCTCACCCTGGCTCCGCCGCTCTCCTAGACCCAAACCCTCTTCTGCTTTCCCCTTCCCTCTGCACGACCCAGCCTCCCACTTCACAGGGAGGAGGAACATCAGGAGGGAACTTCCTGGCCTCCCACCCAGCCCCATCTGCAGTCTCCCAGCTGGCTGGGAGCTGGGGGCCCTCCTCCCTCCTCAGTTGGCTCCCACCCTTCCTCCTCAGGATCCTGCCCCCCTATCCAGCCCCCCCTCCTCCATTCATGAATAAGCCTGTTCCAATAGAAGCTTCCCCTGCCCACTGCTTTTCCTCTCCTACTTCTCAGCCTGAACATATGCCAGGAGTCCATCTGAAATGCCACATGAATGCCCTCAGTGTCTCTAGCCCATGTCAGACCCCCAGAGGGGGGGATGGTGGCAGGCCCCCAGAGACCCAATCCTGTCCCCTCCCTCTACCCCCCTCAGTGTGGTGAACCCGACCCGGCCATACACCGTCACCATGTCTCTGCAATCCCAGCGCCTGGCTGGATAGCACCGGGCCCTCTGTCTGCAGTCACCAGATGGTGTTGGGGCAGAGACTGCAGTGGGAGCTGGGCTAATGTGGGCGCTATCTCCCACCATAGTCTTCCCTGGTTTCAGGGCTGGAAGGGGTCAGCTCTCTCACCCCCCTGTCAACATCCACCCCGCCTGGTGGAGGATCCGGGGGACAGCGAGTCGCTGGCTCTGATGCAGCGGGAACAGTGAGGCCGCCTTCTGTGGAGTGTGGGGCTCTCCCCAGGGGTGCTGATGAGCACACGCCCTCTGCTGCCCACTAGGGAGACCCACTGGGCTGACCCACTTCTCCTGAACTGTGTGGACCCCCCAGGGCTGCTGAGGTGGGTGGGCCCGTGTGCAGGCACATGTTCACACGTGTGCAATGCTCCCACTTCGGGCTGCGTCCACATCACTGGGGAGCTTGACGGGCAGCTGCAAGGTGCTAGGAGCCCTTCTTTGCTCCCTCCTGCAGGGTCTGCTGGTGCCTGGCTCCTCCCGGCTACTCTGGCCTCAGAGTTGCCCTGGGTGGGCACCAGGCTGGGTCAGGGGCACAGCCACAGAGTGGATTTTAGCCCCACCATTTGCCCCCTCACCCCAGGTTCAGTTCATGCTGACCACTGCCCTGCGCCGCCTCTCTCCAGCTTGAATGTCTCTCTGCAGCCTCTTCCACATTCCTGCTACCTGCCTTCACCCCCCGCCTTACCCCCTCTCCCCCCGCCAGCTCCTGGGTCTCAGTATGCTCAGGTTCCACTCCTCCAAGAAGCCTTCCCTCCTGCCCCATTCCCATTCCTGTCTCTTCGGACCCCAGGATTCAGACAGGGTATGTCTCTCTCAGGACCCTGGGTATCTTGGGGTGTCTCAGCTGTTCCTTGCCTGTCCCCATCAATAGGCCTGAGCGCCCGAGGGGCTGGGGCTACATCAGATTAAACTCTTTCTATCTATGGCCTTGGTTCCTAGGGTCCAGTTTTGGGGGTCGCCTTCCTTGCCCACCTCCCTGTCCCTTCAGGCCTGTTCCCTGCAAGGTGTCAGCAGGAGACAAGGAATGAATCCACACACGGTCCCTGCTGCTGCGTCATCCCCCCAGGTACTCACTGCCTCTGACCCACTTACTGCGCACGTGACTTCAGAGGTGCAGTGGGGAGTGATGGAACCTGCACGGGCCTTGGGGCTCAGCAGCCTTGGCCTTGACCCTAATGTGCATCACTTTTCAGCTGGGTGACCTTGAGCAAGTCACACTGCTTCTCTGGGCCTCGGCTTCCACATCCAGATGATGAAGAAAATAATAATGACAACAGCAGCAGCAGCTGCTAACATTCAAATTGTACTTACTACGTGTCAGGCCCCGTTCTAAGGATGACCTCCCTCCCTCCTTGCTCCACGAGGGGGCATTATTATTACCCCTCTTAGGGGTGAGGGGGGGTGAGGCACAGAGACTAACCTGACCAAGGTCATACAGCTAGTGCTGGGGGGGGCTCCCAAGTCAGGAAGCGGGAGCACCTCTGGCCCCTCAGTATCCAGGCGAGGAAAGTGAGGCCTGGAAGAGGGCAGAGCCTGGCCAAGGGCGCGCCCACACTCACTCAGCTCCTGTGGACAGCGGACTGGTGCCGGCACTGGTCCAGGTGCTCACATGCATCACCCCCTTAATCCTCACAGCAGTCTAGGCAGAAGGGACCAGCTCCTTTCTTCGGGGGGCACTGAGGCCGGAGGCATTCGTCTGGCATCAGTGGGACCTTCCCCCAAGTTTTACCTCCACCATCGTCACTGCCTCCGCTCTATGGAGCAGCTGCGAGCTGCCTGGCCCAGGCAGTGGGGCTGCTGGCCGCACCGGTGTAGTTGGCACTGCATCTGTCCACTCTCAAGCTGACTGTGCTGCCCCCGGGGCCCACATGACTGGCACCTCAATGCATGTCCTCACCGGCCCCAAGGGAAGCCCTCGGCTTCCATCTGTGCTGCTGAAGGCAGGAGGGTGTCAGCCCCTCTTCCTGGCAGCAGTCTGGGCTCTGACCACAAAAGCTCTGGCCCTATGGGCTGGGCCTTCCTCCACCCGCGGGGACGGCCGCAGAGTCGGGCTAGGGTTTCCCAAGCCAGAGGCAAGATGGAACCACTACCACTTCCTGTTGGCAGGTGGCTCGAGCTGGGTGCCCCATGAAAACTACACCAGATGCATAACCCCACTCAGGCCTCCTTTTCATTCCCTGCCCCCTCATGCACACACAGTGCAGCTTGGCAAAACGTCACCAAGTCCTCACAAGTATCCTGAGAAGGAGGGCGACACACTTCCTATTTCCTAAAAACAGCTTGAGCAGCCCTGGCCAGTTTGGTTCAGT